TACAAACCACTCATAAAGGAACAACGCAAGTCAAGAAGTCCAAAATTGATAAATTCAACAAGCAATATGAGCTGTTCAGGATGGCAGAAGGGGAGACTATTCAAGATATGCACACCAGGTTCACTTTCATCATCAATGAGATGTACTCCTATCCTTAGGAGAGATAGTTCCTAATGGAAAGGTAGTAAGAAAACTCTTGAGTATTCTTCCTGAAACATGGGAAAGCAAAGTCGAGGCTATCACTGAAGCCCTCGACCTAGATTCACTGGCCATGGATGAGTTAATTAGTAATCTCATGACATACAAACTCAAGAAAAACCAGGAAAAGGAAATTGGAGGAAAAAGGAAGAAAAGGAACGTGGTTCTAAAGGCTACTACATCAGATGATTTTGAAGATGAAAATATTGCCCTCATAACCAAAAGGTTCACCAGAATGGTAAAGAGAGGGCAGGCCTTTCAAAAGAAAACTCCTCAAAAACCATCTGAAAACACTAAAGACCTAGTTTGTCATAAGTGTGGGAGCCTGGGTCACTTTATCAAATTCTGTCCACTTTGGGCTTTAGAGCAGAAAAAGGCAAACTTTGAGAAGGGCAAAGACATCAAGAAAGATAAGTTTGTCCCCTCAAACAGAAGAATGACAACTCAAGAGGCAGATATCTCAATGAAAAAGGCCTTTGCAGCAATAGGGAATTCATCTGATGAAGAGTCTGAGGGTGATGAGACAGAAAACAAGTCCCTTCTTGCACTAGAACAAGAAGATGATTATGACTTTCTTGCTTTTGTAGCAGTGGAAACCAAGGAAGAAAAGGAAACCTGCAGATCACAAGAAACCATACTAGCCCTCATGGCGGGATCAGATTCTGAAGAGGATAAAGAAGAAGAAGATATGAATGAAAAGGTTAGTCTTCATCACATACAAGATAATCTAAACTCATACACAAAAAGGGAGCTAGAATCTTTACTCTACACTTTAATTGATGCATATTAAACCATAGACTCAAAAAGGGAATTGATAATGGAAGACTATGCATCACTAAGAGAAGAAAACAAGAATCTTAAAAAACAAAATCTTCATCTTTTATCCAAAAATACTGAACTAAGTAAAAAACTAGACTTGGTAACTAAAAGGAATGAAGCACTCTCCAAAGAGCTTCTTGTGACTCAAACTGAAGCTGAAAATGGAATGAGATGGACCAGGTCATCCATATTGCTTGACAACATTCACAAGAATCGCACATCTGAGAGACATGGGATAGGTTTTGATAGAACTAGCTCTCAAGTAAAAAATCCCAACATAGATTGTCTATGCATGCACTGTGGGCTGGTAGGACATAAAAGTCATGATTGTCAAAGAAAATAAACTGCTCATAACAAAAACTTGAAATCTTTGAGAAAATCTCATCATGAGAAAACCAATGAGCAAAAACAAATTCCTACAGTCAAATTTCTTTCTAGATGGGCCAAAAGAAATCTTATCCATCCATTCTCTAAGCATAAATCAAAGTGGATTTGGGTACCAAAATCTAATCCCCAAAATTAAAACTGCAGGGATCAGTGAAGAGGAAGTAACAACAATGGTACTTGGATAGTGCATGTTCCAGACACATGACTGGAGATAAAAGCAGCTTCCTCTCACTCAAGAACATCAAATGAGGAAACATTGCCTTTTGTAATGGAAAAAGTAGTGAAATTCCGGGAATTGGAAAGGTTGGATCAATGGATACTCATGCAATTGAGAACGTATACTATGTGAATGATCTACAACATAATCTATTGAGCGTATCTCAAATATGCGATAAAGGAAACAATGTTCTCTTTACAGAAAAAGAATGAAGAGTAACAAACTTAGTGACTGAGAACCTGGTTCTACTAGGTAAGAGACACAAGAATATGTACAAAGCCAAGATTTTTTACTCCAAGGAAGATACTCTTAAATGTCTAAGTGCAGTCTCTGATTGATCTATGCTATGGCACAAAAGAATGGGACACATTAGCATGACAACTATAAATAAACTCATATCTAAAGACCTGGTTAGGGGACTGCCAACCAAAAGTTTCAGGGACAACCAAGTATGTTGAACCTACATTCAAGGAAAACAGGTTAGATCATCCTTCAAACCAAAGTTGACAGTGAGTACTACCAAGTCACTAGAATTGCTTCACATGGATTTGTGCGGACCAATGCATGCACAAAGCAGGGGTGGAAAAAGATATGTGTTTGTAATAGTTGATGACTACTCAAGATTCACTTGGACATTGTTTCTTGCAATAAAGGATGAGACATTCACTATGTTTGAAATCTTTGCAAAGCTGGTTCAGAAAAAATTCAACAAAGAAATAATTAGCATCAGATCTGATCAAGGGCTGGAGTTTGAAAACTCACAATTCCTACAATTTTGTACTACAAATGGGATTGAGCATAACTTCTCAGCACCTAGAACACCACAACAAAACGGTGTAGTTGAGAGGAAAATAGAACACTGGAAGATATTGCAAGTACAATGTTAATCTCAAGCAAACTTCCAAAATTCTATTGGGCTGAAGCAGTGAACACAGGATGCTATCTAATAAACCGATGTATGATCAGATCAGTGTTAAACAAAACACCATATGAGCTGCTAAAAGGAAGAAAACCAAATTTGGCACATCTTAGGGCCTTAGGGTGTGTATGCTTTATACACAACAATGAAAAGGACAATTTGGGAAAATTTGATGCCAAGAGTGATGAAGGAATTTTTCTAGGCTACTCATCACAAAGCAAAGCCTACAAGGTACTGAATAAAAGAACAAACCATGTAGAAGAAAGTGTTCATGTTGTCTTTACTGAAAATAGTAGTGAAGTTGAAGGAAATTCAGAGGATGAACAGAATGAGGAAACCTACTCCAAGCCATCAGAACCAAAAATATGGGGAGAAAAATCTACACCCTCGCATAAAACACCTGAAATAGGAGATAAGTCTACTAATGAAGCTGATTCTTTTGCACCTTAAGAGCCAATAAACATTCCAACTCACAGTTGGAAACATCAAAGCTCTCACCCTTTGGAAAACATTCTTACTTCTCTTAACTCAGGCATCTCTACAAGATCCAAATTACGGAGCATGTGTGCATTCTCTGCCTATGTGTCCCTAATTGACCCAAAAATATAAAGGAATCACTACTAGACTCTGATTGGATTAGTGCCATGCAAGAAGAACTCAATCAGTTTGAAAGAAGCAGAGTATGGAACCTGGTTCCAAAACCTCAAAACAGGACGGTAATAGGGACAAGGTGTGTGTTCAGAAACAAGCTCGATGAGCAAGGACAAATAGTACGCAACAAATCTAGTCTAGTTGTACAGGGATACAACCAAGAAGAAGGTATAGACTATGATGAAAACTTTGCACCAGTAGCAAGAATTGAGGTAATCAGAATATTAGTTGCATATGCTGCTCACATGGAGTTTAAACTCTACCAAATGGATGTCAAAGTGCCTTCTTAAATGATTATTTGCAAGAAGAGGTGTATGTGAAGCAACCCCCAGGTTTTGAGAATACCATGTATCCTTATCATGTATATAAACTGGACAAAGCATTCTATGGGCTAAAACAAGCACCTAGAGCATGGTATGATCGATTGTTCACTTTTCTTCTCACACATGGATACACAAGAGGAAAAATTGATAATACACTGTTTCTTTGAAAACAAGGTGAAGATCTGTTCATAGTTCAAGTATATGTAGATGATATCATATTTGGAGAAACAAATGACTTACTGGGAGTAAAATTTGCTCAACTAATGAATAGTGAGTTTGAGATGAGTATGATGGGAGAGTTAAACTTCTTTTTGGGACTCCAAATTAAGAAAACTCCAGTTGGAACATCAATCCATCAACAAAAGTACATCAAGGAATTACTGAAGAAGTATGATATGAATGAAGCGAAGTCAAATGACACACCTATTAACACAACAACAAAGCTTGATAAAGATGAACGAGGTTCACCAGTAAATAACGCTAAATATATAGGTATGATTGGATCACTCTTATACCTTACTGCCAGTAGACCTGATATAGTGTTAAGTTTTGGTCTATGTGCACGATTTCAGTCCTGTCCCAAGGAATCACATCTAAAAGCTGTCAAAAGAATCCTGAGATGTTTAAAAGGCACAACGAACCTGGTTCTCTGGTATCCAACTGGGGACTCTTTTGATTTAAAAGGATTTGCTGATGCAGATTATGCAGGACATACGGTTGATAGAAAAAGTATCTCTGGGATGACACACTTTTTAGGACCATGTTTAATATCTTGGGCAACTAGAAAACAAAATTCAGTGGCTCTATCTACTGCGGAGGCTGAGTATGTTGCAACTACTTCATGTTGTGCCCAACTTCTTTGGTTAAAAAAGCAGCTTAAAGATTTTGGCAAAGAAACAGGTTGTATTCCTATTCTATATGATAATACAAGTGATATGAACATGGCCAAAAACCCAGTTCAACACAAACGCACCAAACACATAGATGTTAGACATCACTTTCTTCGTGATAATGTTGAAAAAGGAAACATAGTAATGAAGTTCTGCAAAACCGAGGAACAAGCTGCTGATATTTTCACCAAGGCACTGGGAAGAGAATCATTTCAGAAAAAATAGACTTGAGTTAGGGCTCATCTTTTTAGATTGAATTTTGTCCAACCAAGTTCTAAGGAGATATGAATAAGGTTCAGTCAAGTTGCTTCCACAACTGTTTTACACTTAGCTGTCACAAAAAAGGGGGGGACAATTTCATATTCTCTCTCCTATGTCACGTCTCTGAAAAACAGGTGCAACCATCAAAGCACATGTCTCCTCGATGTCAATCCCCCATAATTACTCAAACCCCTCGAATACAACATCAAAACTGTTCCCAATAAAGCACTCTCTCTAAACAAGCAACCAACTTTTTCTCATCTTCATTCTTCAGAAAAAAAAAGAAAAAGAAATCCTCTCCATCACCATGGTGAATCCACTCGTTGCTTACTCAGATGACGAAAGTTCATCTAACAGTGCATCTTCTCAGGGGGAAGAGAACCCCGTCGTTGATACTGTGCTTAATCAAGGGGAAGAAAGCCAACTCCCAGCCAAACCATTTATACCCTCACCCAAAATCAGATCCGTCGACATCTCCACCACCAAAAGTTACATCTCCACCATCACCAGTTAAAGAAACATCTCCACCTACAGTTGCAGAATCTCCACCACCACCCGTCATAGAATCACCACCACCACCAGTCGAAGAAACCCCATTACCACCAAATCCAGAAACTCCCATAACCACTGTCCCAAAAAATCCCTCTACTTCCCCATCTCACAAAACCACTCCTCAAAATCCACCAACATCTCCACATTCTACAATCAATGATGACATTCTTGAAAGTACACTTCACCCTAAAAAACCAAGACGGCCAAGAAAGCACATTGAAGTTAAACAGGTTCGTCCACACAGGCCAGTGACTCGGAGTGCGAATGTGGTCAAACCAACTAATGATGCAACATATAGCGTGAAGCGTCGTCTTCTGGGTAAGTATCCTCTTCACTCATCTGTTTCTCCAATGAATCTTGATTCTGAAACTGATGATGTCTCTAAGGGTAAACATTCTGAAACTCCTCAGTCGAAATCAAAATCTACATAAAGAAATGTAGATAAATTTCTCAAAGTGGGAAAGAAAAATTATTTTCGAACCAAGACAGTGCTTAGGGGTAGAACCTTTCATTTTGATATACTATCAATGGATATAGTCAAGTAGGTTTGTGAACTATTTAGGTTTCAGGGGTGGGAGGAGTTATTTCTTGAACCTAATTTGATCTATGAACAAGAAGTGGTAGATTTCTATACAAATTTGGTAATCTTAGAAGGAGATGTGGTATCGTCTAGTGTGAAGGGTGTTGACATTGTTTTCGATGCAACCAAACTTGGGGAAATCTTGCGTATACCATCTGTGGGGATTAATAAGTATCATTGGGGTTTTGATGAACATTCTATCTTGCCAGCTAAGTTCTCTCAAGGTTGAGTCAATTCTAGGGCACAAACTGTTTTAAAGGGGATTATGATATCATTGCATAAGCTCTTCTTTGAGATAGTACATAAGGTGATACTACCTAGAGGTCACCAACGTCACATTGCCTCCATAAGAGACATGGGACTTATGAATGCTCTTGAGTGCAAAGAACGCATTGACTGGCCCACACTGATTATCAAACATCTTACTAGAATTGTTGATCCTAAACTAGGTTCTCATCAATTAGCTTTTGGAAATCTGTTAAATAGAGTGTTTAATGCATTTGAAGTACCATTGGGAGAAGGTAGAATTTTGACTCGTGCAGATATGTTCACTCAAACAATTCTTGCTGATTGTGGCATTCCCATGGAGTCGGAGCAGGTTGCAAATGCTTCTCTATGAACATTTGGTCTTGTTGCTCAGTTACTCAGGGAACTCAAAGTAGCTGAAGAAAAATATGTCACTCTTGAGTTAGAAAACCAGAATCTACGTGCTAAACTTCATACTTCAAATGCTGAAATTCAAAGGTTGAAAGATCAGTTGGTGCAGCAGCAACTTGCTAGCAATGCAAGGGTTGACAGAGTTCTGGATATGCTTGCTTCTGCTTCAACCAAACCTAGTAAAACTTAAACTTTAAAAAGCATCTTGTTTGAACCTGGTTCTCTTAGTTGTTTAACTCTATGTTGTTACTCTTCGTTTTGTTGCCAGAACATTTTATTATGCTCAACTGGCTGAGCTTCAATTGTTGCTATGGATGTTATTTGGTTTTGTTTAGCTGCTATTGGTCTCTTTTTGATTTGTCAAAAGGGGGAAGAGGAGTATTTGCATCACACAGATAGATTTGTCTTCATCAAAAAGGGGGAATATGATAGAATCGATAATTCTAGTTTTGATGATCGACAAGAAGTGCAAATAATCAGTAGCAAATTAGTGCAAATAATCAGTAGCAAATTGACGCAGCAAAGCAGCCAAAAGCGAGTAAAATGGGTCAGCCACATAGTCAAGAAATAGAGTTATCTGTCAAAGCCAAAAATAATATATTAAAGGTATAAGTTGAAACAAATAAGGAAACCTTAAATATATTATTAAGGAAGGAAGTTGTATATAATAAGGATTGTACTTTAAAAGGTAATCTCTGTTTAACTATAATTTACTTACCTTATCTGATAGGGATTCAAGGCAAAAGAAAACTCTATAAGAAGAGGACAATGTCAGATGAAGAAGATCACAACTTCTTCAAGATCGATAGGTTTACTAACTTTAAAAAGTTCTTGAGTGAGAAAGTTTTAAACGTGTAAGACTATCTTCTTGTTTTTTTCTTGATTGTAAGTTACGAGTTATTGTACAAAGAGTGGGTTTGGCTTCTTGTAGGGTTGAGTTTCTGTGAGGGTTGTAAAAAAAGGTGTGTTTGACCTTTTGAGAGTAGAAGTCGATTGTAGACAATCGAGAGAGGTAGTAATTCTAAGTCTTTTTGATTATTGAGTTGTAATCACAAAGTCTTATAGTTGAATTAATAAAATGAGATTTTTCCTTCCTTGAGTGAGGAAGGTTTTTAATTTAATAAGTGTTTGTGTCTTTACTTAAAAGCAACTTACAAGAACCTGGTTCTTGTTTTAGGGGATAGGTTTCTTTAGCTCTCCTATGGAGAGGATAAGGGCGAGGGAGAGAGACAAGCGCTGAAGTTGGGTCGGGATGGTGGACTCGTTCAGGATTTCGTTTTTTGCTGGAAGAAGAAGAATAGCGCAAGGGTCGCTTTTTTGGTATTGTATTGTTTGGTATATTGTATGTGGGTCTGGATCTTTTTTGGTATATTGGTGGGCGGCTGAGTTGGGAATTAAGGGTGGGAAAAGGCTGCTGGAAAATTGCACTTGGGCTAAAGGAAATTGTGACTAAGAGGCTTAATACGATATTGCAATTGATTTAAAAGGGAGGTAAAATAGTGGCTGGATTTGCAATACAAATATAACCAAATGAATTTCAATAGTAGCCAAAATGAACTTAGTCGGTAAATTCGGCCGAAGGTTAAATACGACGAACTTATGCAAATTAACCAGTGAACTTAATCTTAACGAGATAAAATAATCAACTCAAATATAAACTAACTAATTTGAAATATAAACTACTATATAACTAAACTAATTAACCAAATATTTGATTAAAAAAAACTTTTTGAGACAACTTTAAAAAATTCATAAAATATACTAATTATATGTATAGTTATCTAAAACATATGTATTATCTAAAAGTGATAATAATTGACAAAAATATTTAAATAACTTGCAAAGTATAATTAATTATTCTTTAAATTTTTAATTCTTTTATGAAACTAATTATTCTAAATTGTTTGAAATTGAAGAAGCTCGAAATGATTAATTTATATTATGGCGTCCAAAATTGGATGTCAACAAGAATAAATTGATATAAAGTTGCAAAAGTTTGGATTTAAAATGAAATAAATATGGAAGATCATAGAACAAAATCAAAAGGCAATTAAAGGAATAAATTTAATATAATAATATATAAAGAAAAGTTGAACCAAACAGCGAAATTGTGAGTCAGTTTTGCAAAATACGCGTACAATAATTCCAACTCCGCTTGATTTTTGGATTCCTTATTTGTTTTGGAATCAATTTTTTTTAGGGTTTCTATATCTATAAAAAGTTCATAGAACAAGTATAGAGGATGAAGAACGATCATAGGGCATCAACTAGAAAATTGTCAATACTTTTTATGTTCTTTTCTTATTTTTCTTTTCTTACAGAATATTATCTAAACACCCTTGTTTTGAGGCTCTAGGTACGGATTGATTGTGGATTATTTAAGACTTTTTGAATTAATTATTGGTTGTCATTATAAGGTACTTTCGTCTTCTCTTTTTTAGTATTTTGTGCTAATCAACACGAGATAAATCTATTGTCTAATTTTGAATTGAGAGAGGAGGGGTTAGATAGTCCAGAGAATATAGAGAGCTCTATCGACCCATTTGATTGAGGTGATTTATGTTTAGGAGTGACGCCTGGACGAACAACTTGCTTTGTTATGAAATAGGATGAAATGTAAATGCTCATAAGTTAGTCTATTTATCCTAAACTCAACAATGTAGTTAGATATCAAATGGGAGTAGGCGACGAGAGGTGTGTAGCCCTACTCATACAATTATCCCCATAAACCAGTAACTTGACAGCTAAAATTAGTTTTAAGCCAAGAATATGTACTTGTGATTCATTGCATGCTGCAGCCCTAGAATTCTACAATCATTGTGAGTAATTTTATTGTGTTGTTGCATTCTTTTCTTTTGACCCTCTTAAATAAATAATTAGACCAATATAATTTAGTAAAAATAGTAAATTGACAAGTCCTACGGATTCAATAATCAGGTTATTTTAATAGTAACCATATTACTTGCGCGACTACATACACTTGCATGTATATTGGGGAGCAACAACTCTTTGGATTCGCCGCCAGGGACTTAGAATTAACTACTATTTTAGGTTATATATTTTTTTCATTTATTTATTTATTTATTTGTTTGTTTTATTAATTTTAATTTTTTTTTCTTTAAATAATTTTATACTCTTATTGATATTGATGATTGGGATAAATCATAGTTGGGTGATGAATGTCATTTATGTCATATATGTGATCGTCAATATATTCATTGGAATTGTTTACCTAAATTTTATTCCCTTTCCTCGAACCCCTATAATGATTCTTCTATTATTCTTGATGTTGGTAGAAGCGATGAAACAGAGAATGCAAAACAAGAGGCGCGCAATGTGAATTCATTTATGGAATGCACAAACATGTTAGACAAGGTCAATTAAAAAATCACCAAAGAGTTATTTGAATGCACAGAAGAGCACAAAAAAATCATGAAACTGTTATATGAGCTTGATGCTATTCCATTAGAAATTACAATCCTAGCTAAATTAGAAGAGATTGAAGCCAAACAAGGAGAAAGTTACGGAGAAATAGAGATAGTGAGCCAATCTTTGCTACAAGAACAAACTCAACTTCTAAAAAATTCACGAGTCTGTGGTGGTCTGACATACATGACAACCCAACTAATTAAAAAAAGAGTTGAGCTCACACAAGAAATAGATCAATTTAGTTCAGATATTCATGACTTAGATGCTTACTTGAACAAAAAAAATTGAGAAGTTTGATGCCCAATTACCAATTGACATGGATGATGACCAACTAGTGGAGCAACAAGAGGAATTCCAACCATTAAAGTACACCTTATTCCTTAATATCAACGTGGAGAAAGAGTACAAAAAGGAGGATGTTGTAAATAATGTTGCATTGGAGTTGAGGCAACTTGAATTTCATCCAAAACATTTTTCTATAAAATCTTAACTAATGGATGAATGTATATATGAGGTACAAGGCCCCTACATCCTAAAGTTTGCTAGTCCACATTGACAAAATGACATTTCTCACCTAAGGGTCAAGAAGTGCAAGATGCGGCATATACTACTTGGTTCTTTTATCTTCATACCACCACCCTTTGTGAGGAGTAGAAAAGTTGATGCAAAGTTAGGGGTACAATTCATAAGTTTAAAGTGCAAAGAAAGGTAGTGGACTTCTTGTGTCGTCGAAAAACGTTAAATTAGTCACTTATTGGGAAACAA